TAATTCCTGGCGCCGGCTGGTTGGTCCTGGTGGGAAGGGGTGATGTTAGCCCCAGCATATAGCACGCGACCTAGCACAGGGAGTGTTCAGTAAAAGTTCATCTAACTTGTGAAAATTTGTCAGGCCCCTTTGTAAAAGAGGCCGCCAACACCTAAGATTTTCAATTCTGGGTCTAGAAGGCAGCTTTTTGTATCCATCTGAGCTCACGCGTCCAAACTGACTTCTGTTCCTCTCAGGGTGTAAATGGAAAAAACTGAGATCATTACACCTAGGTAAGGACGTTTTAGCCAAACCCCCTCCATCCACTTTTGTTTTTTTTTTTTTCTTTTAAGTAGTTATTGCTAATCTGGAAGAAAGCCATGAAATTTCTCAGAGTGAATACCTTCCTCTTCAGCAGCAGGTTAGTTAACTCAATACATACCATGGCCATGACCCACAACTTATGTCATATTTTTCATTTTGGCTGAATTCAGCTGCATCATTTCAAGGACTCCACACAGTGGCTACCAGGGAGAAAAAATGCCCACTGTATGTGGAAGGCATCTTATCTCCCCGTTACCAACGGCAGCACGGGGGTGGCTGCTGGGCTGCTCCTGCAGGTTTTAGGGAATGCATTTGTGGATTGTCAGCAGAGCTGACCCTGGATTGGGAGGGTCAGTAGGTTGGGAGGCATCTGAATGGAATTATCTCCTTTAGTCGGATGGCTGAAAACCACTGACACCATAGTCCCTCCTTAAAAACATCTGCAGGACAAGAGTCCTAGTTACAGGAGGGCCTTACTTATTCCAATAAAATGTCAGCTGCATACACTCACACAACCTCCGCTCCATGAAATTTATAATCTGGCCTGAGAGCTTCCATCACCTCTGTCAGGTTCTGAGTGATACAGTAAATCTGAGCTCCCCCAGAGATGCCTAAAATGCATATTGAACTCATCTGACGGAATCCTGGTGCTGGCCTTGTGACTGGTGTGGGGGTTTACCACATCTCCACATCTCTGTAAGGCAAGAACGCAACTCACAGCGACCCCTAGGCTAGGAAAGGTCAGCCTGTCTAAAGTCATCAGTCGGAGGGTTCTGAGAGCAAAGGCTAAAGATCTGAAGGCTTCCCCCCACCTTGTCCTCGTTCTTCTTTTCCCTAAGGAACCTCTCTGAAAATCTCGTGCTAAAGCCCTGTTTATCCAGTTAATGAGCTGCCAGCATAATCTGTGCTCCAAAACAAGTAGTGACCTAATAAATGCCTGAACGCAGAGAGGATTTACTGAAGCAAAATTATCTCAAAAACCATTCTTTGTCTTACAAGAGCTTTTTCTGAAGCATTAGGTTTATGATGGTCATTCAAAAAGAATAATAATAATAAAGAATGTCAACTCCATTCTCTTAAAATGTCCCTCACTGATTTGACTTAGGGTGAAGCCTAAAGTGGTTGGACATATTGTTTAAGCTGTTATTTGATGGGGAATTAGCACGTGTGATTTACAGGCTGAAGGCTGAAGCAAGAGACCAGGGTGGCTTCTTAATGACTCAAAGCTGGTGTGACTTAAGGTACCAGAGGACCACTGCTTCAGGGAAAGATAGGACCTCAGAGCTGGCTGAGGTTCACAGCAACCCATATGACACACTGGCCAGGGCCAGTGACTCTGAGTAGCACGTGCAGTCATAGCTGTCCTGCAATAAAGTGTTTCATAAAAATGGCAGGCATGACAGCCACTGCAGTAAATAGAGGGTGGTAATTAGCAATCAAATTGAACTGCCCCTAGAAGAGAACCGGAGCATAGACAGAGATTCAACAGCACACGGTGAGGGGTCCTACCCCTCCTGGGGCAGTGCTTCCCCACTGAAAGCAACAGACAGACTGACCCAGAATGGGCAGTCCACGCACAGCCTTAAGCCTCCAACAGATCAGGAAATATCCCGCATGACCACTGCAGCCACGGGGATTCAGACATCAACGACAGCTTCCAACCACTGGCTGCCCAGATTACATGGGAAACCCAAATAGACACATATCTTGTTTCTAGATTGTCTCCACAAGAGGACGCTTTCCTGACACCCCAGCCCAGATGCCTTAAAGAAAATCAACTACATCTGACCTAAACAGAAGCCACCTCTGAGGCCTGTGAAAGTACACAATGTGTCCTCCTAACAGTGACACAATTCCAGCCTCAGCCAGTTAAGGTATCTTCCAACACAATGATGAACTAAATGGGTCTAATTTCACCATGCCTCTAAGTGCTGGGGAAGGACTATCTAGTGACACAGAAAGTCTCAGCTCTAGTGAACTCCAGCACCTCCACTTCATGGCTGGGAAACTGTAACTGACCCCCATGAAGCTGTGTTTTAGCCTAAACATAAGCTGGAATTTGTTTAAATTTTTACATTTACCTGGTCATATTCAAAAAATCAATTTTAAATATCCCAGTGGTCTCGCATAATTTGAATCATAAACTCACTCAGTTGAGAACTTGAAATCAGCCCCTGAATTATGAATTAAGGCTAATGTCGTGCTGTTCCAGGAATCCCTGACTTGCCGTCCCTGCCCAGGCATCGGGCTAGACACAGCGACGCCAGGCCAGGCTGCACCAAAGGGCTGTGCCCACTCTTTCTCCAACAAGCAGTGATGTGGGGCTTGTCGCAGGAAAGGACCCATGCCCCTGGGCCACATTTTAAAATCTATCTAAAATTTCCCAAAACTCATTACCAAAAAGAAATAGTATTTTAAGGACCTCACCTGTTTTACTTAGAACTGAAATATTCTACTCCACTGCTTTGATTTTTTCCCACCAAGAAGCTCCTCCCCTCACCTGCCTGCTCTCTGTTGTCTTCCTAGAACAAGGTTCACATCTCAACATCTTTCAGGACTTGCTCTTTGTTCGTGGCTCAGGCCTCTGTCGTTTTGCTTCCCACCAGTCTGCACCATTCCCCGAATAGCCTATTCCTGGCTATGTCCCTCAGCCACATGGGTTTTCTGATGCTCTATGTCCCAGTCAGTTTTTTTTTTTACTTAATTTTATAAAACCCTGAACACAACCATCTGAAGAACTGCAGCAGATTCACATCCCAGTTTCCAACTGCAAACAGGGAAGGGGGTCGGCATCTCATCATGTAAGTTTGTTTCCATGAGAAGTTTAATTTTCCTGCCCCTCACCCTAGGCTCCAGTCATCTCTGTCCTCCTTTAAAGTAAGTCTGTACATACTGGAAAAATTTTGAAAAGGCACAAAGTCACTCTCTTTCCCAGTGGGCACCTTCCACGGAGGTGGCTGTGGCGTTCTATAATGAAATACAGACTCAAGAGTCAATGCCACCAGCGGAGAGGAATATCAAACCCAAAAGCCAAGAATACCATTTCCAGATGTAGCTTCAGCAGTATGTGACCTGCAGAGTCCGATAATCGGATAAATACTCACGCAAAACAAAGTTCAAGGGTAATAAGTTACAGCTTAAATTCCATCTTTAACTGGTCCTCCTTCTCCACCTTCATTCCTGATGAAGACTTTTGGGCTGTACAAAACACAACTTGGCGTCAGGAGCCACAGAACCATCGGTTCAAAGCAGCAAACGTGAAGTCAGGATGTGCCATGAACAGCTAACTTTGTGTTTTGCTTAGACTAGAAACACTCCCAGCCCGGAGCCTACCAGCTCTCCCAGCCCAGGCCAGATGGCCTCGTGTCTTCTTCCCTGGGGCCGCCTCGCCATGTCTCTCAATTCAGAGCTGCTTCAGGATCCCTGTAACAAAAGGGTGCCCTCTGCTCTGCAGTGACTCTCTCCTCCATTTTCCTTCTATGTAAGGGGCCAGATTAAGACAAATTGGTGCTCTGGAGGCACAACCCCTGGGCCCATGGACGCCTGCAGGGCTCTGCAGATACCCCCTGAGGGAACAAAGGGAGTCAGGACTTTCAAGTTCCCTCCAAACAGGCAGAGAGGCTCATCCTTATTTGTGTCTCTCCTGTAGAACTGGGCCCAAAGCAGAGGGGAGTGGGTTTTCACATCTATAAATATCAGCTGTGTATTGTCTCATTTTTAGCCCACAATTACTGTGCATCTCCCTCTTGATAGTGGCTCAGGGTGGCCGTGGCCCTGAGGACAATCATGCCTCTTGCAGTAGGGCGAGAAGCAGAAAGAAGCTCTAGTGCAGCACAGGGGGCCAATCACGAAGCCCCTTACTCACAAGCCAGCATTTCTGTGCAGAGTGAGTCCCAGGCAGATGCTTGGCTTTGCGGGCTCCCTGTGACCTGTGTGCATTTACATCCCAGCTCCCAAAGCAGGCTGCTCGGGGCCCACTTACATCCATAAAGTGCAATGCGTTCGCAAAAGCAAACAATTCAAATAATGACCAGCATCTTTATGGTTCTATTAAGCTTACCCTTATTTTTTGCTTCCCCAACTCCAAACTCCACCCCCCCCTAAAAAAATCCCACTATGGAAGAGCTTCACAAGTTAACATTTGTTTTCATAAAACAATGACAGCTGTCTTCCTGCGTAAGGTATGAGATGCATTTCTTCATCTGCTCCAACTCCTAGAAACTAAGGTCACCGTTTGCATAGGTAGACTTCATTCTGTGCAAATCTTACTAAAGTAAGGCTATCGTCCATGTTCAGGTGGTGTGATCGTGACGATCAACAAAAGCAACAAGAAATAATTCCCTGCATTCCAAATTCTCCCCACCTACACGTGACTTCCCAGGCGGACAGCTGAGACGGGTTTTCCTGCACCATAAGGCAACATATGTTGAGAGGACACAAGTCCTGGAAGTAAAATGCAGAGGGACATATGACATGCCGTGTGACGGAGGTGAGAGGAGCTCCGTCTTTATTCTTCCCTTTTATAAAATGGAAGCCAAACACTGGCAGCAGGAGCATCCATGGGTCGCAGCTGCACCTTCTTCATGTGCTGCCCCAGGGCCAGCCCTCTGCCACGGGGCACCTCTGGGGATCACAGAACCCCAATATTTGCTTTGCTCCATCTGAGCTGCACACGGCATGACTCCAAAGGATGGGAAATGACAACCCCAAGTGGGAGGAAAAACTGAGCAAAGAAAACCCGCCAAGGGAGCCATCAGCTCATGAGACTCACATTCCATAGGTGAGGGGGGAGACCCGGCCAGGGAGGAGGCCAGAAGACCCCTCCCCGCAAATCAAGTATCGTCAGGAAATATCAAAGTAGAAGTTTCTGGTAAGCAGCTTTGCATTGAACATTCAGTCTAGACACTCTAACCTTATAAAACAAGAATCTCTATTAAAATAACAATTTTTTAAAAAAAGCTAACAACATGAGTCCTCGAAGTCACCCAGGATCTTGTAGCACAGAATGGAGTGTTCCTGGGCCAGGGCGGCGAGCTCCTTCAGGAACTCGGGGAAGAGGGCGGCGGCCAGCATGGTGTTCCTCACGGGCAGGGGCAGGTTTGGGGGTGCCCCCACCACCTTGGCTCTGTTGGTCAGGAAGGGCTGAAGCACTCTTGGGGGACCTTCCAAAAAGTTCTTGCCACTTCCTGTCCTGGCAGCCTCCTGAATGGGGTCTGTAAACAGAAAGAAAACTGTCATGGGGACGGTGTGTGTCCCTCCCCCTGCCCTCTTCAGTGCGTTTGCAGGGTAGGAGGAGGGGGGTTGTCAAGAGTGCAGTTCCTCCAAAGTCCCAAAGACACAGCACTCCTGGCACACATCTGCCCAGAAGACAATGTCCAGCATACAGCTTGGGATAGGAGATTTTATCCAAAATCCTAAATGAGGATCTAGTGCAGAAATTGTGGCAAGAACAATTGGGTTGGGGTCTGGGATCGTGGCTTAGTGGTAGAGCACTTGCCTGGCATGTATGAGGCGCTGGCTTCAATTCTCAATTAATTAATAAAAAGTATTATGTTCATCTACAACTAAAAATTTTTTTTAATTAAAATTTTAAAAAATAGGTTGGTCAAGATACCTCCCAGCAAGAGCAGTGGCCCACAGCTCTAGCCCCAGCTGAAGGAGGGTGGCTGAAGAGGGGTAACTGGTCAAGCCCAGGAGTTCAGGGCCAGCCTGGGCAACACAGCCAGACCCTGTCTCAAAAAGAATATGAGACAGGAACCTGCCTGCTGCCCAGGATGCGGGGCGGGGCCAGGGAAACAGGCCTCTCCTGCCGATGGCATCAGTCGGGTGCAGGACTGGCTTGCCAGGGTGTCTCTTAGGACACCCACTGCTCTCCCAAGCTTCCAGTTGAACTGACTGTCCACCTTCACCAGGGCAGCCCTGGTCACAGGATGCAGGGCCAGCACTCGAGCTCGGTGCTCTCTGCATCTACTGCTCGGCCTCAAGGGCTTCCCAGTGAACCAGTCTCCTCCTGGCCGAGTTCTCCAGCCCTCAGTGCAAGAGGAGAGGGAAGATGCCTTCTGATCACCAGAATAATGGAGAGAACATTGGGATGCTGCAAAGAGCAGCCCAGGAACTCCTGCAGCCACCAGGATCCGGGGCGACACGCAGCTTGGCAGAAGCTGACATTTAAGTAGGGTTTCCAGGGGGTTCTTCTGAGTTTCAGTAAGGCGGGTCTTCATGATATGAGCCCAAGTTCCATCATATGCAAGTGATTTGCATTTTCATACCAACTCAGTTTTACTAATTAAAATGGTTCAACTTCCCTGACTATTTAATTCCTGAACATCTCCAGCCCTCGTATATTTGTAGGAATTATTTATGCCACCTTCTGACCCCTATCCAAACGGTCTCATTACTCCTTTTAAATCATTATATTCAAGCTCTTCATTATTTTGGCTGCTTTTTAGAATTCAGCTCCATTTTTCAACACTCTTCTCAGAGTGTTGCTTAACTGCAGTACTAAAAATTCTTGACATTTATAGTACTTTCCACATTGCGCTCCTATAGTCTTCAGTGTTAAAAAAAAAAATCCTCTGCTTTACTGCTGTAAATATCCTTTTAGATTAAAGCTTATCACGGTTCATGTCATAAAGAACTGGAGAAGCTGTTGAGAATCTGTCTTCCACTACCTTTCAGGAGAGACTCCTACGAGGCTGTCAACACAAGTGTTGAGGTGGCTGAGATCTGTGCCACCCTTGGGGGCCATCCCTCACCGCCCCACCTGGCCTTCAGGCACTGCTGCTTTCCAAAGGGCCCAGTGAAGCCCCTGGGTCTGTGCTGGCCCTCTGCCGGGAACTCCTCCCTCCGCATCTCTCCTCATCCAGATCTTACGAGGCGCCGAGGCACACGGTGGTTAAGAGCACCGACTGTCATCAGCCGGCTGAGCCGCTCCAGGCAAGCTGCTTTCCACTCTGGACTGTCCCCTCCTTGCTGGCAAGAAGCTCACGTGTTGTTACTGTAAGGATTAATCAAGGACACAGGGCCCACTGGTGACCCTCACTTTGTCACCAGTTCCTGCCCCTGGAGGCCTTCCCTATGCTTCTTCTGCCCATTTTACTGCCCAGCTAAGGCCTGGCTGCTCTTTGGCCCTGATGTCCAGCTCCTGTCAGGCTCCGTGCTTCCCCAGGGCTGGGTCCCCACCTGATGACGCGTCTTTCACGACCTTTAACACCTCCCTCGACATTTGCTGAATGACTGAAGGAAGTGACCAACGTCAGTGCCTGCATACCCCTGATGCTCCCTGGGCCAGCTCGCAGTCCTCTCTCCACCGTCCTCATTCAAATTCCCTCCTCTCATCTCCCCTAAAAGGCTTCTGTGGCTTTATTTATCTAGCTTCATCTATGAATAAAAAGTGTCATTGCTAAGGCTTATTTACCCAGCTAGAATTCAAGAATCAAAACTGCCTTTGCTGATGAAGGCAGAGCGTGCCAGCCGGGTGAGGACCAGCCAGGGGCAGTGTCCTTAACAAGGACACCAGCAGCTGGGGCAGACCCAGGCAGGCTCACCACCCCGTGTTGGCTTTTCAGTGTGTCATGAAGCACCAGCGAGCTCCGGAGTCAAAGGCAATCAGACCCGAGTGGCCGACCCTTCCTGGCAACCAGCTCATCCCGAAATGTCTCCCTCTCCTTCTCTATAAATGGGACGTCACCTACCTGCCCGCCTTCCCTTCTAGAGTAAGGGCTCAGTTAAAGGTGTGATGTACAAGGAAAGAGAAGAAACCGACATTGTGGTTGTTCACAGATTTGAGGGGGCAGAGAAGTGCCTGGAGAGTGGCTGTGCCTCCCAGACCATCCTTCCCAAGACTGCACCAAGGCAGCCGGCCACGGAGGCGGCCTGCTCTGCACAGTGTCCTGTTCCTGCTGCTGCAAGAGGAAGTGAGGAGCTGCCAGGAGGCGCAGGGGACCCAGGTGACATGAAGGCAGCTTGGTGCAGGGCCTGAGTTACAGCCCTAGTACGAAGCCAGCCCAGCCCCTGAGGCAGAGACAGGGAGGGCAGGTGGGCAGGGCGGTCAGGACAGAAGTGGTTCTGAAACGTGGCCTGAAATGCGAGTCTGAAAAGCCGCCACAGAAGGTGCTCAAGACCAAGACGGGAGTGTCTCAGGAGTTAGGAGGGAACCGTCACCCGTGCAGCTGAGGACAGTGGTGCCAGGCAGAGGCCCTGGCACAGACCCTGGGGACCCTTCCCCAGATTCTAACTGGAAGGTGCTCTGTGTCCCCGTGGGAACAGGACTCCCAGATTCGACTCATTTGCAGGTGATCATGCCCCAGGAAGTGCTACAGAAATCGGCTTTTTAGAAGGGACAGGAAACCATCTCACTCTGAGAGTGTCACTTTGCTAACCTGAAAGAAGTGAGGGAACTAATCTCAAAAACTTCATATAAAAAGAAGTCGGGGCTGGGTTGTGGCTCAGTGGGAGAGCGCTCGCCTAGCACAGATGAGGCATTGGGTTCCATCCTCAGCACCACATAAAAATAAACAAGGAAAGAGAAGAAACTGACACTGACACTGTGGTTTTTTTTTTGAAGGGGGTGAGAAGGTATAAAAAAAAGTTATTTAAAAAATTTACAATAGCCTAAAAAAAATAAAATACTTGGGAATCAACCTAACTAAAGAAGTGAAAGACTTCTTCGACGAAAACTATAGAACGTTAAAGAAAGAAAGAAGAACTTAGAAGATAGAAAGATCTACCTTGCTCTTGGATAGGCAGAATTTATATTGTCAAAATGACCATACTACCAAAAGCATTATATAGATTTAATGCAATTCCAATCAAAATCTCAATGACATTCCTCAGAAATAGAAAAAGTAGTCATGACATTCATCTGGAAAAATAAGAGACCCAGAATACCTAAAGCAATCCTTAGCAGGAAGAGTTAAGCAGGTGACATCACTATACCAGACCTTAAACTATCCTACAGAGCAACAGTAACAAAAACAGCATGGCATTGGCATCTAAATAGACCTGTAGACTAGTGGTACAGAACAGAGGACACAGAGACTAACCCACATAATTACAGTTATTGTATATTAGACAAAGGCAAAAACACACACTGGAGAAAAGACAGCCTCTTCAACAAATGGTGCTGGGAAAACTGGAAATCAATATGCATCAAAATGAAATTAAACCCCTGTCTCTCACCATGCACAAAACTCAACTCAAAGAGGATCAAGGACCTAGGAATTAAACCAGAGACACTGTGCCTAATAGAAGAAAAAGTAGACCATCATGTCGGATTAGGATTCAACTTCCTTAATAAGATTCCTATAGCACAAGAATTAAAATCAAGAATCTATAAATGGGATGGATTCAAACTAAAAAGCTTCTTCTCAGCAAAAGAAACAATCAGTGTGGTGAATAGAGAGCCTACATTTTGGGAGTAAATCTTTACCTCTCATACATCAGATAGAGCACTAATCTCTAGGATATTTAAAGAACTCAAAAAGATAAACACCAAAAAAAAAAAAAAAACACAAATAACCCAATCAATAAATGGGCCAAGGAAGTGAACAGACACTTCTCAGAAGAGGATATACAATCAATCAACAAACGTATGAAAAAATGCTCATCATCTCTAGCAATTAGAGAAATGCAAATCAAAACTACTCTAAGATTTCATCTCACTCCAGTCAGAATGGCAGCCATTATGAAGACAAACAACAATAAGTGTTGGTGAGGATGTGGGAAAAGGCACACTCATACATGGCTGGTGGGACTGCAAACTGGTGAAGCCCATATGGAAAGCAGCATGGAGATTCCTTGGAAAACCAGGAAAGGAACCACCATATGACCCAGCCATCCCACTCTTTGGTGTATACCCAAAAGACTTAAAAACAACATATGACAGGGACAAAGCCACATCAATGTTTATAGCAGCTCAATTCACAATAGCTAAACTGTGGAGCCAACCTAGATGCCCTTCAGTAGATGAATGGATAAAGAAAATGGAATATTATTCAGCATTAAAAGAGAATAAAATCATGGCATTTGCAGGTAAAGGGATGGAGTTGGAGAATATAATGCTAAGTGAAGTTAGCCAATCCCAAAAAACCAAATGCTGAATGTTTTCTCTGATGTAAGGAGGCTGACTCATAATGGAGTTGGGGGGGACATGGGAGGATCAGACGAACTCTAGATAGGAAAAAGGGGTGGGAGGAGAAGGGAGGGGGATAGGGCTAGAAAAGATGGTGGAATGAGATGGACTTCATTACCCTTCCATGTATGAATACACGAATGGTGTGAATATACTTTGTGTACAATCGAGATATGAAAAATTGTGCTCTATATGTATAATATGAACTTCAATGCATTCTGTGTCATATATGACAAATTAGAATTTTTAAAAAAGATGACTTAAAAACAGCATACTACAGGGAAAAAGCCCAGGTGTGAGTGACGCCCACCTGCCCCACACCCCACACCCCATCATAGGTCAGGCTGTGTGTGCACCTGGCTTCATGAACCGAGCAGGACAGTCTCAAGCACTTGAGCTCCATTATCTGGGCTGACTGCCCAGGCCTTAGATCTGGCTTCTGCACATGGAAATGGAGCTAAGGGGACCTTTCGTGCCCATGGCACAGGGCTGTCTGGCAATAAAAACTGACTGCCTGGGAAAGCACTTGACAAACTGTCAAATACAAACGAAGACTGAGCTTGGGTAAAGAGACAATGTAAGGGGCCTGGAGCCACCTTCTGTCTAGTGGACTGCAGGAACGGCCACAGTTCTTTCTAGCTCTTCCCATCAAGAAGGGGCTTTCGCTCCATTCTTGAATCTGGGAATCCAGAGACTTGCTGCAGCCAGCAGAGAGCAGCAGAGAGCAGCAGACTTGACCTGTGTGAGCCTGAGCCCCAGGAGATTATCCACCCCCTGCTCTCACTCGTGGAACCCACTGACCAGCCTGGGCTAACCTGCACCACCCCATCATCCAGCCGCCCACCGAGAGCGTCCTAAGTGGGTCCAGGCAAAACCAGCTGCACTGGGCCCGGGTCAGCAGCACACCAGGTACACATGCACACGTACACAATCACAAGCGCCACTGTAAGCACTGAGTTCTGGTGGCGGTCTGTTACACACAGTGCTGACTGACGTCTCCCACGAGGTGAGTCACCAGGCTAGCTGCCTGCTCAGGAGGAGCACGGCTAGCAGACTGACATCCACGTGTAGAAGAGAGGACATAAGGGCTTCAAGTTCACACTCCCACCAAGCTCTGAGGTCTCCCTTCCCTCCCTGAAGGGCCTGCCTGCTCTTCTCTAAGCCCAACAGCTCAAAGCCTGGCCCCTCGTTCTGCCAGTGGCACCTCGCAGTCCCCTAAGGGCTCATCACCAGCAGGGTTCTGGCTGTAGCCAGGAAAAACCTGAGGGGCAGGGAGAGAACAAATTCTTTATTTGAAAGTCGAGGGAGGGGCTGGCAGAGCACATGTGGCATGCTGGAGGCCCCAGGTTCCATCCCAGCACCCAGACAGACAAAGAGGTCCAGGGATATGGGCCCCATGAGGCAAAGTGACCAAGATCAAGTAGCTACACAGAGGCAGGATCTGACAGTGATACAGAGTTCTGGGTTCTTTTTCAGCTTCTTTTAAAAATTTAAAACTTGCCCTGAATTAAATTTCAGCCTCTCATTCTCAATCTTTTCTCTGATCAGCTGCCTTTAGCCCAGGAGGAAGGGCCCTCCTCTCTCTAGTTCCCTGCCAAAGAAAGCCTGGCTTGTCCACAGGTAGAGGGGAAAGGCCAGGGCAACACTGGGCCTCTCCTACTGTGCTCCCCGGGGCCTGCATCACAGTTCAGAAGATGGCAACAGTCACAAATTTGTCACCCCAGAGCTTAAATCAGGCAAAGCCAGGTGCTCCCAGGCCTGGCTGGCCAGCAGTACCCTTCTCAGCCCTCCTCTGCAGCACCAACATACCACTCAGAGGCTTCCTGCTCTGTCAGGCCCCCTCCCCCGCATCCTCCCCCCACACCCCTCCGCCAGAGCTGATAAAAAGGTACTGTCCAGAATCTCAGCGCACACCTGTAATCCCAGCGGCTTGGGAGGCTGAGGCAGGAGGATTCAAAGCCAGCCTCAGCAAAAGGGAGACCTAAGCAACTCAGTGTGACCCTGTCTCTAAATAAAATACAAAATAGGACTGGGGTGTGATTCAGTGGTACAGTGCCCTTGAGTTGAATCCCCAGTGCCTAAAAAAAAAAGAATCTTAGGCTGAGCAGAGACTTTTACTTCTCCCAATTGAAATGATTAGTTTTCACCTTCCAGAATCCTAATCAATCACATTTATATTTTTAGCTCAGGAGCCTCTGAAAACACAATAAAGAGAACAGACGCCCTCCTCAGGACAGGGCTGGCCAAAAAACGGCCCTGGGAATGCACACCGTGCCTCTTTGTGGCCGGCAGCTGCTGTGTGACCTGCTGGGGCCTCACAACCCTGCACATCAGCCCTTCCCTGCACTGCCCTGACAGGAAAAGGAGTGCCCAGCCAGACCCCAGCAGGGCACAGCCAGGGCCAGCAGACCTCCTTTAGGTTTAAGAACACTAAGAGGAGGTTCTTTCCTGTGACATCAAAACAAAAACACCTTCAGAAGCTCCTAGGGCCCTGGGGCCGGAGCAGCTCCCGTGAGCACAAACTAGCATGCAGGCAGCTGGAGGGGCAGTTTGAGGAGGAGGCGGTGGAGAGGGCTGGCTGACCTTTGGTTAGTGCGGCAGGGGTCACATCAGACATGTCCACCCGGAAGAGCAGGTACTGCTGGGCCTGGATGAGGAGGCCTGGGAAGTCTCTCTCCACCGAGGCAAACTGTTCAATCTTGTTTTTCACAGATGCAAGGACCTGTCAAACACATTAACGATGCTAAATGCCCCACAGTGGATCCACTCTCGGTTATCCATACGTCTTTCAGGTACAGCTCTCATTATGGGAACTATTATGATATTAGGCATTTGCTCATTTTTAACTGCCTGGGTGTTCTTGTTAGGGCACCCTCAAAATATCAAACTAAATGAAGCTCTGCAGTTTGTCTGGACTAATCTACACAACTAGCATAACCGAACAGGGAAGGAAAACAAATGAAACAGGACAGTGGGATTTTTGAATAATGACAAGATTGTGAGAAAAGAAGCCCACAGATCAGCATCCAGAAAATGTGAGGGCACAGACATACCTGATAGAGAGAGCGCACGCTCGGCTGGAAGACCATGTTGGTGTTGAGCAGGAAGGAGCGCAGGAGCGGCTGCGGGTAGCTGGCTAACTGCGTGATGATCCCAATAAGCAGCAAATTAACATGCAGAGAGTTCTCCAGCATGTTCTCCAGCTTTGACAGGACCACGCTGATGAATGGGCCTGCGGGAGGAACACAAGGCTTCAGGGCTGGCTGGCACCCGGGGACGTGGCCCTTCACAATGGCGGCACCACTGGAACCACAGCCCCAGACCACCATGGACCACCAGGTGCAAATCCAGATGGGTCAACATATCCGGGCCTTGCCCTCCCTTAAGATCCAAACAGAAGACAAACCACAACCACAAGAAGACAGAAAACTATGCATAGAACTCGTCTTTCTGACTCCATTTTATATTTTGAAAATTATCAAGGGCCTTGAAACAAAATCAGATGAAAAATTTCATTGTCAAAAAATTAAAATAAGCTTTCCCATGCTGCTTCTGTATTCTCGCGCTGCCAGTGCTCAAAACGTGACATTCATCGTCTCAGGTGGCTGTGCGTGGACCGCAGGGTGTCACGCAAACATCAGAGCCCATTTAAAGCTCTGGAAACAAGAAGCCTTTGTGGGGGGCTGGGGGCGTGGCTGGGTGTAGACTGCTTGGCTAGATGCACGAGGCCCCGCTCTACAAGACAACAGGAACCCTTGGTTGTTGAGAACAGCAAATGCACGTGAAATAATGCCCACCACACAACAGTGCTGAACAGGCCTGGGGTGCCCTGAACCCGCGCCCTGAGAGATTCTGCTTCCTCGAGAGATTCTGCTTCATCAACTGTCGCAATGTCAAACAACAGGAGAAAAGGGGTGAACAAAGGCCTGGGGCTGTGACAGGAGTAGCCCTGGCAACACAGAAGCCACTCCCAACTCTCAGATGAGGAAGAGAAGGCACTCAGTCCTGAGAGAGGGTCTGGTGGGTCACAGATCTTACAAAAGAAAATCCACACGACTACAAAAGCAGCTCATTAAAAAAAAAAAAAAGTGGCAAAAAAAGAGCTCCTGTTTCTTTGGGTCACTAAAAAATTAATATGCTTTATGTCTGAGTTCACCGAAGGCCCAGGGAAAACAAGGAATAAATAAATAAGCCTGGCATTAATAAAAATTACGTAAGCATGTTTTAAATTTTTACCATAAAAATGTTCCATTAAGCAAAATCAATGAGACTTTTGTATTTCCCCCAGTGGAGCTATTGATGATGCCACAAAGCCGTGGCATATTTACAGCCAAAGCACACGCCCCTTGATAAATAAACACGCCTTATGAAGACTTCACCACCATTAATGCAAATTGAACAAAAACACTCTTCATCACAAGATGCTTCACTTGGAAGCCCTGGTAGGGTATGAGAGCAAAACCCTTGGCAAGGGAACAAGGTCAGCCCTAAGAGACGGGAATACCAGGCCAGGCACCGTGGCGCACCTCTGTAATCGCAGCGACTCTGGAGGCTGGGCCAGGAGGCTTGCAAGTCTGGGACCAGCCTGGGCAACTTAGGGAGATTTTCCATATCTTGAAATAAAAAGTAAAAGGGCTGGGGATGTAACTTGGTGGTAGAGCCTCCCTGGGATTAATCTTCAGCACAGAAGGGAAGGGAGGGGAGGGGGAGAGGGGAGAGACTACAGGGGAATGACGGGTGACTACATACTCCTGTCTGGAGAAATGTCCACAGTCTCTCAAGAGAGTCTCAAAAGCCAGAGGAGGTGCCTTCCTCGCACGTGTCCTGCCAAGCAGCCTCTCTTCTCCATCCCTGGGACGGGGGCAGACTCCTCAGCCACTTTCCGTGGCAGAGGGAGTAGATGGGCCAGGGGGTGGAAGAGCCCCTGGAGAAGCCTACACATCACAACTGGGCGGTCTGCCCAGCGCAGGAGCCCCCTGGCACCCAGTGTGAAGGCTACCAGTGACCTTCCCATCAAGAACCACAGAAACGTCAGCGGGGGCTTCTCGGAAGGCATGCCAGCCCAATTTTGGCTTTGCGGGTGGATCTCCAGGGGGAGGCTGCTGCCCTCAACCCCCAACTCTGGACCATGTCTCCCCACCCATCTCACCTGCCCCCTGCAGTCTCTGGCTCCATGTCTGTCTCTGTCCAGGTGGTGCAAAAACGAGTCAATGAGGACCTACTTAGGTGGGAAGAGTCTTCTGTAAACATGTCCCCACTGTGATCTCATGACTGATCCCAGACTGCCCATGTCCTCATCCAGCCACTATACAGACATGAAAACTGCTGACCGCCAGTGACCAGGGGAGACCATCTAGACCATCACTACTACAAGTTGGGGAGACACAGCTTGAACCCCACAAACGGGGAGAGTAAGTCTGGAACAGTATCTCATCTGAGTGGCAGATTTGGGCAAGGCCAGAGGATGGCCACACAACCCACCACTGACACTGAGGTCCACTCATGGACAGCAGAGGCAATGCAATGCCTGAGGGACGGCAAAGCACAGACCCCATGGGCCCTGTCAAATCCTACTTTATTCTTAGTTTCTAGCACTTTTTTTTTTTTTAACTGCTTAGCAAAAAGCAGTTGCCCGGGGAAACTGGTCGTCAGCTGAGATCAGCAGACAGAGCCACATCTCGGAAAGCCACAGGTGTGCGTGGGGGAGGGAGCGGCTGCCGCTTTCCCTGTTCTCCTAGGAGGACAGATAAGCTCCCGCCTCCCAGAGTCTGGCTCCTGAACATCCCACAAAGGCTCCGGTGTTAAAGGCCTGGTCCCCAGACTGTGACACTACTGGGAGGTGGAGCCATTAGGAGGCTCACCTTAGAGGGAGGAAGTCAGGTCACTGGAACATGCCCTTGAAGGGGAAATGGGGACCCTGGCCCTCCTCCCGGTCACCATGAGGCAAGCAGTTTCCTCCCCAGTGAGCTCCTTGCCATAATGTGCTGCCTTCCCAAAAGTCCAAAAAGCAATGGGGCCAAGCAACTATGGACTGAAACCTCAAAAACTGTGAGCCAAAATAAACCTTTCCTTCTTATTAGTTGATTGTCTCAGGTATTTTATCACAGTAACAGTTAACAAACCACCATAAAATATTTAATTTGTCAGAATGACTAAGACAATTTCCATTGTCTATCCCTGTCATTCAGTTCTCTTCCCTCAAGTATCCTCACCCCGTGCCTCCATCGATCCTGCTCCTTCTGCATTTCCCAAATCAAAGAACAGAGCTGCCATTAGCTCTATTCTCAGCTCTGCAAATTCTAGCTTGGAAACATCTGAACGTAGACCTACACACACACATACACACACACATACACACACACACACACACACACTCACACACCACACGGTGCCAGCTCTGCCTTAGGTCAGAGTTTCATCATTTCTTGTCTGAATTCTAGCAACAAATTTTCTATTTTAATAGAGATTAAAATGATCTTTAAAGTGATCATTACATCTATATACAATGGTATAAGGGTATTAAAAAAAAAAAAAAAGGCCACCTTCATGGAGGAAACCCCTGTCCCTGTGCCCTGTTAACAGATTTTAGTATATCCTTCCAGAAATGTTTTATGTATATAACAAGATAATAATAGCTAAATTATTGAAAACATTTATTAGGTACCCCCTGTGTGCCAGCCAGTGTTCCCAGGTACTTAATACAACCACCCTAGGAAGCATATTTATTATTTATTCCATATAAAGATAATGCAGAATGCTGAGTGCACTCAGTTAGTAAACAATGGAACCAGAGTTTTAACTCATCTGCAGCCAGTGCTCTTCACCAGCACGCTCTCGCCTCCCAGGTGGACAGTGTGTCCCCCTCCCTCTTCCAGCATGTTTTTCAAACCAGTGGCAGCACTCTGTGCGCTGTCAGGAACTTGCTTTCCCACTAAGGACACATCCTGGGGACCACAGGACCAGCACGCACACAGCTGTCTCATTCTTCTCAGGGCCACCGACTATTTGATGGCTAAGGGAGTCGCGTCAATAAGCCAATCCTCTGCTGATGGGCATCAGGGTTGCTTCAGGCTTTTTCGATTGTAAACAATGCTGCGGTGAACATCTGTGTAGACACCTCTTGGTGCCCAAGTGTGGCTACAGCCTTGGAAATGTTCCTAGAAACAGTTGCCAGGTCACAGCAGTGGTGACTCCTGAACTCTGACACAAGGATACAGTCTTTCACTGTTCTTCCTGGCACAAATCTGTCCCCACCCTACGGCTCTCTCCACACGCCTGCCAGGCTGGCTTGATCCTCACGGCCCTTCCTGGCTTCAACACTTCAAGGGCTTCTCGGTGCAGGGCACCAGTTCCCCTCTTCAGCTTGGCGCAAAGACCCCCAGGCTTCCTCTCCCACTTCCCTGCCCCTCGGACCCCTGCTGTCACACAGGCTCCTCTGCACCCCTCATTTCCTCATCTGTTTCAGCTGGGCTTCCCTCACTCTGCAGCCCCTCCTGGGGAAGCCCTCCCACTGGCCCCCTCAGAGGACAACCAAGTGCATTCCTCACTAGGAGAGCACAGGCCTTCCCCAGCTCTCCTCTCAAAGACTGGATTTTTTCCATTTTGTGTCCATAGCTCCTAAGTTTATAGAACCTGACAAATATTATGGTATCAACAGAAGACTGCTGAATACATGAACAAATAAAATTAGATAAATGGAATGCTGTAGTTTTGTTGGGAAGTGAATTCATTTCAGTGGAAATTGGGACTCCCTGGAGAACACATTTGGAAGTTTGAAAACAAAGCTCTCATATGGAGAGAAGGGGGAGTGTTTTCTGAAGCTGTGTCCGAAGGAGAAAAAGGCAGTTTTAGTTATATTGACCTAGATGTGAAAAACACCATGTTTTCTCAGTTCTCAGGTGCATCATATGTAAAGTGCTGACAAATTTAACAAGTGTTGCATTAGCTTTCTCTCCTAAGCTGGGCTTTGCTTAAGCATCTCCCAGGGATGATGCTCTGGGAGCTGGGGAATGCTGGCATTCTAAAGAACAGCATTTAGAACCAAGGGGGACCCTGACGTCCCATGAAAAGACCACAGGACTAGGCTGGGATTTCTTGGTGGGCGAGAGTGGATGGGACAGGCCTCCAGTGAGAATGGGAGGTGGAAGCTTAACTTCTGTCCTTTCCCTTAAGCTGAGATCTCTGGCTCCCTCCCTTCCTCTTATCAGCTGGGAAACCTGAGATGATCTAATCCTTTTTACTTATGATTGACTGATTGAATTTTAATTAAAACTTGTTCACACTGAAATGTTATCTCAGCTAGAACCTCCAGCCTTATAATTGTGGAATTAGAAGCTTTCTCCTTGTTTAAATAAACCTTCAGGCATCAGTAAACAGATGAATAAATATTGGGGGAGGAGAGAAGAAGAGCCCCTTAAAATTGCATTAAGCCTACTTGGCTGGACCAGAGGGCAATCTGCTGCTGTCATCCATCTCAGGGGACCCTGGAGTAGGTGAAGCACAGCCCCCTGCCCCGCCCCCCCCCCCATGCCTCCCCACTGCCTGGGAAGGAAAAGCATCAGCTGAGACTTCTTCGGGGCCACCTTCAGGCACAGTAATAAAGCTCCCCACCCCAGGAATGCAGCCAGTCTTCACAGGGCCAAAGGGAGGGCCCAGGGAGCCAGGTCTCAGGGGAATGCCAAGGCCACAGGGCTGGTAAGAGGCTACAGCCAGGACCCACCCACAGGCCTGATTCCAAGGCCACTGCTCTGTGACACTATCTTCTTCCAGCACCACTCCCTGCTACCAAACAACATTTGGGGTCCCACTCCAGCCTCCCTGAGTATAATGGACCCTTCTCACCTGTAGAAATTCCCTTGGCACCACCATTTGCAAGTTCAGATTTTATTGCCTAATAATTAGTGACATTTTCTATCCTAATTCCTCACCCCATGCACTCATCTGCTTCCCATCCTGTCCCTTTTGCCTGGCATGTGATGTCTGCCAGTTGCTGGCAGCGTATCACCCTGCAGATGAGCAACGAGTGCCTACGGGTCTGCTCTCCTTATCTTAGGGTGAAGACCTGCAGTATCTGAATGGACTCCCAAAGGTACAACCCACTTCCCATGACCTCTGATGTGTGTGCACAGCTTCTGTCACTCAGAAATGTTCTGGCACCTTCTGCATGCTGGGGACAGAGCAGAACAAACACTCCAGTGGGCGAGGGTAAGTTTTGAAAAGACACCTGTAAACAAATGCCAAGGAGAACTATATATTAGACTAAAGGAACTGGTTTACTGAATACTAAGGCTGGATTCCCCTGTAGCTTAGTCAGTCCTATTACTTTATCACAGACTCATCAAAGGAAGTAAAATTTAACCCCTAACTTGCTAAATGAACAAGACAATCGTTCTAAGAATGACAAAACAAAACTACGATATTGCTCTTTACAACAATATTTTCACTCCTGTTAGGCAGATGGATAACGCTGCTCACCTTCACCTACCTCACTTTCCTGTTCCAAAATGCACACGGATTCTCAAAAGCTGAACCCACAAAGCAATTTAAGATGGTCACCTGTGAACGGGGTGCTCTGAGTCCTCACGGCTTGGGGCCTGGCACAGGCCGTCTCCTCTCTCAACCCAAATGGGGAGCGCACAGGCTCGGAAGGAGCTTCCGCCATGAAAGAGTCGAAGTCCTCCTCGTCCTCCTCGAGGTCCTTCTCCGGCTCTTCCTCCTCCTCCCCCTTTTCTCCTTGGCCCTCCTCGCCCCTTCCTTCATGCCCCTTTGGGAGAAGCAAGGGGTCGGGCGGGGCTCCATCAGGCTGGTCCATCAGGCTCTCGGGGCCCGAGTCCAGCTCCCTGATGATCTGGTCATACTGGGCCATGAAATCCTCGCTCCCGGGGCTGACCCCGGCCGGGTCGGGGCTGTGCTCGGCCTCGGGGCCCGGGGCTGCTGCCCCCGAGTCCGACTCCGGGGCGACTTGAGGCTCGCTCTCTTGCTCTGGCTCCTTGGACGCGTCAGGCAGGGGGTCAGCCCTGTCCCTCTGCTCTTCCTCCTCCGCATTGGGCTGGGGGCCGGGCAGGGGGCCGTTGTTCACTGGGGGCGGCTGCGCCTCGGGCTGGGCCTGGGCTGGGGGCCCCGCGGGCTCCTGCTGCGACCTCGCGGCGTCCTCGGCGTCCTTCTGGGCACAGAGCCGGTACACCATCACGTCGTCCTGGAAGTCCGACTCCTCGATGTAGGGGCCTCTGAAGAGCTGGATGGCGTTCCTCTTCATCTCCTGGATGTGTTTCGGGGGGTCGACGGGGGCTGGGGGGCCGGGAGTCTCCGCCTCGTCGTAAGGCCCGGGGGAGCCCACGTCAGCCCCCGAGGAGATGCCCGTGTCGTAGCTGTCGTCCCACTCCAGCTCCGTCTGGCCCCTGTCCTTGGCTGCGGCCGGCTGGGGCCCCACTGCCCCGAGGTGGGCGGCCGGGCAGGCGCTCTCCTCGGCCGCGCTCGGCAGGAAGGTGTCGGGGTCCGGGGAGTCCCCGTCGTAGAGCGCCGACCAGACGCGGCAGTCCCGCATGCAGCGCAGGATGTTGGAGTGGGCCTCCCACAGGTACTGCAGGTAGCTGACGTCCAGGGCTTTGCCGTACTCCACGATGCAGGCCGCGGGCGCAGGGGGGGGCAGGGGATGCTCCCCGGGCCCTGCAAGAGAGCACAGAGCCGTCAGGACCAGAGCCGGGCCAGTGTGGCAGGAGGGGTGGGCCCACTCAGGCCAAGCTGGTCACCAGCCACTCTAGGTCTAGAGATCTCTGACCAATTGGTTTTGGATTAAAAAAAAAAAAAAATGCCTAGATTTGAAGACAGACAGACAATGACAGAGAATCTACTCTCTGAGAAGACAGAAATGGCCAGTCGGGTACTGGCGGTAGCCATCCAAAAACTAATATTTGACACCAGTCATTAGAGAAGTAAGAAGGCTAATCAGGGCCGCCTCCAGGTTGAGAGGATTACCTGGTGCACCTAATGGTACCTCCTATAGACTGGGTAATAACTGGTGACTACCTCCTGCAGACTGGGTAATAACTGGTGAGTTTTTACTTTGACTCTAAAGTGAAAGGAATAACCCATAGGTTCAAGGTAACCCATGAATTTGGGAACTGGGTTTTCTGTAGAGAAACCCTGGATTTTAACTCATTCTGCCTTCCTGGGGACTTTTGGGATATGGAAATATACCATATGGTCTCTTGAAGTCAAGTCACACTCACTGGCCCACTCATTTTAAACTGGGAATTCTATCTTACCACATGACCACTTTTGATGTTACCAGTTCCAACCTAATTACTGAAACAGTTGTGAAAACATCTGCAATTAAGTTTCCATTTTCCCTTAAAAGAAGAAAAAGAAAGACAAGGAAAAACATATTCTACCATGTCTTCACCATCCAGATGCTGCAGTCCTTTGTGACTGCTGTGGAAAGTTAGTCCTCGCAACAATCCAGCATGGTGGAGGTTACTTTCCCCACTTACAGCTGGAGAAGTTGAGACTCGGAGATAGAAACACACTCCCCTAACTGGGCCAGGGCCACCATCCAAGCACAGGCAGCCCCACCCCAACCCCCATTCTTCCTTCAATGCCACACTTTTGCAAGCCTCTCCCCCCACCCGCAACAAAGATCTGAATCTCTACTAGACTGGGTGAGGATCGGGCCTTCACAAGTGCACATTTTCAGGTTGTTCAGGTAGAAATGATTCATCTGTACAGCTCTACTGCCAAAAGGGTGGTGTTTGTCTCTTATAAACCTTAAGTAAAAATACATCAAGGGGCTGGGGCTGTAGCTCAGTGGCAGACGCTTGCCTGCACCTGTGAGCCATTGGGTTCGATCCTTGGCGCCACATAAAAATAATCAAATAAAATAAAGGCATGGTGTCCATCTACAACTACAAAACAAAATTTTAAAATACATCAAAAACTGCCACCAGCTATATTTACTGAGCACTTACTACATGCCAGTCTTTTAAAAGTTACTTTAAGTGTCTTAACTCACCTGTCCTTGGAATGACCCTTCAGGGGAGGTTCTATTTCACAGATGAGGAAAAAGGCTTGGAAGGGTTCAGTGATTTGCCCCCAAAAAGTGGTAGAGCCAAGACTCAGAACCCTACCTGTGAACCACTGCCCAGTCATTACATTAGCTAACTAAATAGGTGTGTGATCCACCCATTAGAGCGTTCATCTGGTGTTCACCTGGCCACAAGAAGGGCAACTTAAACCAGAGGCCAGGGACAACTGCCAAGGTGACGACCTGGTGCTTCAGTGAACACTGATTACCAGGTGTCCGTACCCTTGTGAGCCAGAGAAGGAGCCAACTAGTGACACACGAAGGAGCAGGATGTACAAAACCAAGGGATATGGAATCAGAGTCTACTAGCTAGACTTGAACAAGTCAAGTCCTCTCTGAGTTTGTTCTTAATCTATAAAACAGGAACACTGCCTTCTCCAAAGCAGCAAATGGGATCACACACAATCATATGTTTAATCTGAATTTTGAGTTCTGCGGCAAGTTGAGCCACAACATCATTCTTGGAACAACTTGCATAGTAAATTTTTTAAAAAGACATCAATTTTTAAATATGTTTTTAAGAATAACTTTGGAATGAGAAAAATATAAGATATCCACACTATTGTGCCTTACAGAAAAATATATTTAAGGTACAGCCACATAAATTGTTGATTTCTATGTATACACTATATCTTGATTAAAAGACCAAGAATCAGTAAGACAACCTTAATTCCTAAAAACTGCACTTATATCAAATACTTGGATACTTTCTTGGTCAAGAAGCTCAGTTTTTAAACACATGTCACCCAAGAGGACTGTGGCTGGGTGGACAAAACGGCATGATGGGAGGGGATATCAGAACACTGGCTGCAAACACTTAAGTCACCTCCAGGACTGGATCATTTCCTAGTGGTCACAGGACAGGCAGAATGTTCCTGAACTCAGCCGTGTGACCATTAGAGATATACAAATATTTGTCCTCTTGTTACCAGCTGCTGCCAGAGGACCAAGGTTAATAGAGGTGGCCATTTAAATTTAACTGGTACAAAGTGAACTGTAGATGACAAATAGGACATGAGTCTTAAAACTCCTGTGGGGGAGAGCATCTAGGAGAGTCCCTCATATGTCCGTCAGATTAATCAGACAGAGCTGACACCACAAACTGCAAGTTTTATAATAAGATATATATTTAGGGGGTGGGAGCCTGGGATTGAACTCAGGGGCACTTTACCACTGACCTATCATCCCAGCCCCTTTAATTTTTTTGTTTTGAGACAGCATCTGGCTGAAGTTGCTGAGGCTGGCCTAGAACTTACAGTCCTCCTTCCTCGGCCTCCCAAGTGGCTGGGCTGGGTGTGTGCCACGGCGCCCAGCGATGAGGAGACACAACTGACAAACACTCCCCGAGTGGGACACTGTGGGGTTCAGACGAGTACTAGCTCCACCCTCACGACAGCCGTGGCCACACCTGTGACCCTCATTTTGTTGTAGATAGTCACATTTGGACTTTGCCACAAGAAGGGTCACTTAAAACAGAGGCCAGGGACAACTGCCAAGGTGATGACCTGGTGTTTCAGTGAACACTGATGACCAAGCGTCCGTACCCTTGTGAGGCAGAGAAGGAGCCAACTAGTGACTCACGAAGAAACAGGACTCTGTGTTACTCCGCCTGCCTGAGGCCCCAGGCCCCAGGAGAGATGGAACGCAGCATCCTGGGTTAAAGGTCGTCACTAGTGAGTTCCTACCTGAGCCATCATGTGTCCACTTTGACCACAAAATATAATCCCTCTCTTGATTCCCAAGCGTCAGCGTGATCCCGCTGGCGCAGCAGACAGGGGTCAAGGCGAGAAGCTTGGCCGCAGACACGGAGTAGCAGTCTCTTTCCTTCACGGCCCACCTCTGACTGAGCATCATGTGATTGCAGGGGATCAGATACCTGGAAAGACAGACAGAGCTGCATCAGTCCCTGCGATGCCCCGGACCCTGCTGGGACTGAGTCCCAAAGCACCGTCAGCCCTGGTGATGGCAGCCAGGATTCGTCCTCTCCCCACCCCCACCAGGCCACCAGGGCTCGCCCACTCCCTGTCCAGGCTGCTCCTCCCAACAGAACCGCCCCTCGCAGAGCATCACAGGCCTTCCCAACTTGACCTCCATGAGCTTCCTCCTTGCCCCTGGCCTCTGCACCACCCGAAATTCCCCTGGAGTGTGCTTTTCCTTTCTCTGGCTGACAAATGCCCTGTCACCCTGCAAAGTCCAGCTCCAGGGCCACCCACCCTGAGAAGGCTCCCGGCTCTCTACTCCAGGACGGAGCTGCTCGCTCCCTTCCCTCTGCTCACTGTTGAAGCACCACTGTCGCCTGGTCCACGAGTGCTTCAGGCCTGACTCTTCAACATGATTCACTGCCAGAGCAAGGACCCGCTTCAGCCGTTTGTCCTGCACTCCTGAAAACTTGGGCTCAGAGCAGGCACTGAATGAAGCTGGCCAGCAACCGCTGTGTTACAGTTTGGATGTGAGGTGTCCCCCAAAGCTCACGTGGGAGACAAGGCAAGAAGGTCTGGAGGAGAAATCACCTGGTCAGTGAAGTAACCCCTGATGGGAGCTCTGAGGGTGACTGGAGGCAGGTGGGTGTGGCTGGAGGAGGTGGGCATCGGGCGCGGCTTTGGGGTATGTATTTTGTATTGGCGAGTGGAGTCTCTCTCTTCCTGATCAGCATGTGAGCTGCCACACTCTTCTGCCAGGATGTCCAGCCTCATTTTGACCCTGAGGAATGGAGCCTGCTGTCTGGATTGAGACCCCCAAATACACTTTTCCTCCTCTAATATTGTTCTGGTTAGGTCTTTTAGTCACAGTTGTGAAAAAGAAAAAAAAAAAATAGGAAACTAGGTGATTAGGTGACGGAGAGCATCTTAGTGTGGTTATGAACCTGGAGACAATAAACTGCGCCATCTTCTCTGACGCACCTGGAGCCATTGGTGGGCTTCTTCGTGCGTAGAAGGAAGGGTATAAGTGGCTTTCTCTCTTCACAGGGACAGCCACACTGCTGACTTAAACCGAGATGGAGCCCATGGGATAAAGGACCCAAGGCCAGCCACAGCGTGAGCAGGAGCCAATCCCCTGAGCTCTCAGGGGACCAGTCACAGCCTTTCCATGAGCCTGAATGGCTTCTGTTTCTGTGCTTAGCTCTGGAGAAAGAGGCCAACAAGCTGTGACTCAGGTTCCCGACTTAGGATATGTCCCAGAGCCTGCAGACTTGGAGCTGTCTCCCTCATCCGCTGAAGATCCAAATGAGGAAACTGGAGTTGATATTAATGACCAGTCCACTGCAGAGTCCGAGTCAAGAGGAAGGCGACTAAATTCCCTTTCATGGTCCTCCTACAGTGAAGGTTTTAAGAATGCTTTCCAGGTATGAAGTGACAAATTTGCCACCTAACCCTCAGCTCCTCCAAAAATCAAACCGCTTCTCACATACTCTAACTTCCTGGTGTAGCTAGGTAAAGGGGTCCTGCCCCCTATCCCCTGTTCTCTGCCCCGCCCCCCACAAGTCCACACTATCACCAAACCACACCCACCCACCAGTCACTTCTGACATGGTGGCATCTATTTCCATAAGCTCAGTTCCATGAAAGCTAAAAGCCACAAGAACAAAAAGGGCAGATGGAGGAGGACAGCGTGGGAGAGGGGCAGGCCTGTTCTAACCCCTGGCTTCACGGGGACTCATATTTGAGCCCTACAGGAGGAGCGCTGTCACGGGCAGGAAACGAAGGAGCCTTCTTCCCAAGGATCTCAGCGTATACAGATGCTCAGAGACCAAGAGTGACACAGAAGACAGAGGCATCCTCCCACCTGGGTCTCAACACAGCACAGCTGGGCCCCAGTGGGCACCCCCGGAGGGTGGGCTGCTCCAGCGTGGCAGGAGGGGCCAGGGTACTTGGCAGCACTAACACAAGCGTCAGAGCAGGGGGAAACACACTGGGAGCTGCTGGACACCAAGGTGGGAGGCAGACCTGTCGGAGACCCATGCTGGAACCCTTGCTTGGGGACCCTAAGAGGCGATGACCTATGTTTGCAGGAAGGCAAGATCTGACAAGAGATGGCAGGCGAGAGCCAAGGAAACCTGTCCTGTGGTTGCTGATGTGAATTCTTCCTTACCACAGGCTGGTGGTATTCAGATTACCCAGGATTCACTGTATCCTTATTTTGGTCATTAATTTTTTTTTTTGTATTTTTTTTTAATTTTTTATTGTTGGTTGTTCAAAACATTACAAATTTCTTGACATATCATATTCCCCACTTTGATTCAAGTGGGTTATGAACTCCCACCTTCCCCCCATACACAGATTGCAGAATCACATCAGTTACACATCCATTGATTTACATATTGCCATACTAGTGTCTGTTGTGCTCCGCTGCCTTTCCCATCCTCCCCCCTCCCCCCTCCCCACCACTCCCCTCCCCTCCCCTCCTCTCTTTCTACCCCCTCCACTGTATAACCCTGAGGGTCTCCTTCCATTTCCATGCAATTTCCCTTCTCTCTCCCTTTCCCTCCCACCTCTCATCCCTGTTAAATGTTAATCTTCTTCTCCTGCTCTTCGTCCCTACTCTGATCTTAGTTACTCTCCTTATATCAAAGAAGACATTTGGCATTTGTTTTTTAGGGATTGGCTAGCTTCACTTAGCATAATCTGCTCTAATGCCATCCATTTCCCTGCAAATTCTATGATTTTGTCATTTTTTAATGCAGAGTAATACTCCATTGTGTATAAATGCCACATTTTTTTTTTATCCATTCATCTATTGAAGGGCATCTAGGTTGGTTCCACAGTCTTGCTATTGTGAATTGTGCTGCTATGAACATCGATGTAGCAGTGTCCCTGTAGCATGCTCTTTTTAGGTCTTTAGGGAATAGACCAAGAAGGGGAATAGCTGGGTCAAATGGTGGCTCCATTCCCAGCTTTCCAAGAAATCTCCATACTGCTTTCCAAATTGGCTGCACCAATCTGCAGTCCCACCAGCAATGTACAAGTGTACCCTTTTCCCCACATCCTCGCCAGCACTTGTTGTTGTTTGACTTCCTAATGGCTGCCAATCTTACTGGAGTGAGATGGTATCTTAGGGTGGTTTTGATTTGCATTTCTCTGACAGCTAGAGATGGTGAGCATTTTTTCATGTACTTGTTGATTGACTGTATGTCCTCCTCTGAGAAGTGTCTGTTCAGGTCCTTGGCCCATTTGTTGATTGGGTTGTTTGTTCTCTTGTTGTCTAATTTTTTGAGTTCTTTGTATACTCTGGATATTAGGGCTCTATCTGAAGTGTGAGGAGTAAAGATTTGTTCCCAGGATGTAGGCTCTCTATTTACCTCTCTTATTGTTTCTTTTGCTGAGAAAAAACTTTTTAGTTTGAGTAAGTCCCATTTGTTGATTCTAGTTATTAACTTTTGTGCTATGGGTGTCCTATTGAGGAATTTGGAGCCCGACCCCACAGTATGTAGATCGTAGCCAACTTTTTCTTCAATTGTTTCTTTTGTTTCGATTTCATTAATTTCAGCTCTGATTTTAATTATTTCTTGCCTTCTACTTCTTTTGCTGTTGTTTTGCTCTTCTTTTTCAAGGATTTTGAGATGAAGTATGAGATCATTTATTTGTTGGTTTTTTTCTTTTTTTAAGGAATGAACTCCAAGCAATGAATTTTCCTCTTAGAACTGCTTTCAATGTGTCCCATAGATTCCGATATGTTGTGTCTGTGTTTTCATTTATCTCTAAGAATTTTTAAATTTCCTCCTTGATGTCTTCTATAACCCATTGATCATTCAGTAACCTATTGTTCATTCTCCAAGTGATGTATGCTTTTTCCTTCCTTCTTTTATCGTTGATTTTCAGTTTCATTCCATTATGATCAGATAAGATGCATGGTATTATCTCTACTCCTTTATATTGTCTAAGAGTTGCCCTGTGACATAATATATGATCTATTTTTGAGAAGGATCCATGTGCTGCTGAGAAAAAAGTATAACTGCTTGATGTTTGGTGGTATACTCTATATATTATAGTCAATTAAGTCTAGGTTATTAATTGTGTTATTGAGTTCTATAGTTTCCTTATTCAACTTTTGTTTGGAAGATCTGACCAGTGGCGAGAGAGGTGTGTTGAAGTCCCCCATGATTATTGTATGGTGGTCTATTAGACTCTTGAACTTGAGAAGAGTTTGTTTGACAAACATAGCTGCACCATTGTTTGGGGCATAAATATTTATGATTGTTATGTCTTGTTGGTGTATGGTTCCCTTAAGCAGTATGTAGTGTCCCTCTTTATCCCTTTTGATTAACTTTGGCTTGAAATCTATTTTATTTGATATGAGTATGGACACTCCTGCTTGTTTCCGAAGTCCATATGAGTGATATGATTTTTCCCAACCTTTCACCTTCAGCCTATGTATGTCTTTTCCTATCAAATGCGTCTCCTGTAGGCAGCATATTGTTGGGTCTTGTTTTGTGATCCATTCTACTAGCCTGTGTCTCTTAATTGGTGAGTTTAAGCCATTAACATTTAGGGTTATTATTGAGATATGGGTTGTTCTTCCAGCCATATTTGTTTATTTCTGTTACTAAACATGGTTTGTTTTCCTCTTTGATTATTTTCCCCCCCTTTACTGTCCTACCTCCCACTGTTGGTTTTCATTGTTATTTTCCATTTCCTCTTCCTGTAATGTTTTGCCGAGGATGTTTTGAAGAGATGGTTTTCTAGCTGCGAATTCTTTTAACTTTTGTTTATCGTGGAAGGTTTTAATTTCATCTTCCATCCTGAAGCTTAATTTCACTGGATACACAATTCTTGGTTGGAACCCATTTTCTTTCAGTGTTTGAAATATGTTATTCCAGGATCTTCTAGCTTTCAGAGTCTGTGTTGAAAGATCAGCTGTTATCCTGATTGGCTTACCCCT